TAATCCACAGCACTCCAGTCCATCAGTTAATGTCTTGAGAAGAAAAAAGAAACAAATCCTTCAAGGCGTTTTTAACTTTAAACCGTTGCTTCCAGCTAAAATACTGGTCCATAAAAGTCCATAATCCATAATAACTCTTCCTCCAGTGAAAAAGTGGTCTGGTCTGAATCAGGAGAGAAATCTGCACAGATCAAGCAGCGTTTACAACAGTCCAAAACAGCTCTAAACAAATATGTGGCTGGATTTTGATGTGAGAGACAACAGGAGGTGGACTTTTTCACTGGAGGAAGCGTTATTATGGATTATGGACTTTTATGGACCAGTATTTTAGCTGGAAGCAACGGTTTAAAGTTAAAAACGTCTTAATGCTGGATTTGTTTCAGCTTTTGTCTTCTCCAGATGCAAATTGATGGACTGGAGTGGTGTGGATTATTGTGATGTTTTTATCAGCTGTTTGGACTCTCATTCTGACGGCACCCATTCACTGCAGAGCATCCATTGGTGAGCAAGTGATGTAATGCTACATTTCTCCAAGTCTAACTATTCCTTTAATAAGGGTGTAAATATTTCCTCTGACAATGATTCATAATTCTATATATTTTTTTCAAATAAAAATAGGTTAAAGTATTGTATTTAGAATAATAAATAAATTTGAACTACATTGGTTATATTAATCAGCACCGATTAAATTAGATTAAACACGAACAGGACGAAACGTCTTCATTAAACCATTCTGATAAACACTGTTAGAAAAAATTGAAGAAATTAATAGTGTTACTCATCAAGGATGTATTAAATTGATCAATAGTGACAGTAAATACATTTATAATGTTACAGAAGATTTCTATTTCAAATAAATGCTGTTCTGTTGAACTTTCTATTCATCTGTGAATCCTGAAAAATAAAATGTATCACAGTTTCCACAAAAATATGAAGCAGCACAACTGTAGTTTGAGTGACGAATGCCGTTCAAGCGTAGTTCAGGCATCAGCTGACGCTCATCTGATTGTAACTCCTCCCACTACATTTAAATAAGATATATATATATATAGTTCATCCGTACTCACACTTGCCTTACTCTGTCACACAGACCTGCGCTTACCCTCCTCCATCCCCAGCTCCTCCTTATACAGGCACATAATCACTTAGCGTCTTGTCCACGGAATAATCTATCACCTAATCGTTGCTTAATCTTGTCCAGTCTCATTTATAGACCTGTATAACTTCTGCATGGAAGTTTATATCTGTTGCATATTAAAAATTCTGGTAATTGCATTAGTCAAACCTCAATGAGGTTTGTTTGTGGACAGCTCAGAATCTGAACCCTTTAGAGCAAAGCCTGCCGCCAAAATAATAACTGAACTATTTTCAACATGGATAATAATCAGAAATGTTTCTTGAGCAGCAAATCAGCATATTAAAATGATTTCTGAAGATCATGTGAACTGAACTATTTTCAACATTGATAATAATCAGAAATGTTGCTTGAGCAGCAAATCAGCATATTAAAATGATTTCTGAAGATCATGTGACACTGAAGACTGGAGGAATGATGCTGAAAATACAGCTGCGCATCACAGAAATACATTACAGTTGAACAGATATTCACATAGAAACAGTCATTTTAAATTCCAAATATATTTCACAGTTTTTACTGTATTTTTGATCAAATAAATGCAGCCTTGGTGAGCAGAATAGACGTCTTTCAAAAGCAGTAAAATTGATGCATGCAATTGAATTTGCACAAAAATTCATTCTGCTCGTGTCTTGTGAACAAGCTTCGCTCTGCATGAAGGTTTATGTTGTCAGTGGATATTTTTAAGAGCAGATGATATTAAACACCTTCTGTTTGCTTCCAGAGAAAAATAACCTGTCATTCATCGAGACGTCCGCTCTGGACTCGACTAACGTGGAGGAGGCCTTCAAGAACATCCTAACAGGTGCAGACCCATATAACCATCATTCTAGTCAAACGCTTCCTCACAGTAGCAATAAACCAACTAGCATGATTCCCATGACAGCTACAGTGGCGTCTTATGTAACTTTAAAAGTGCAGCATCTGCCATCTGGTAAGCTGCGATTGCCTTGCAGGAATTATGGGGATTTTAGAGAGATGTTTTAGATTGGGGTGTAAATATTCACACTTACACTGAAGCCATTTCATAATCATTCTCTACTAGATGATGTAATGCAGCATCAAATCTAAAATTCGGTGGATTTTCAGTGTATTTTGATACGTTTCACAATTATATATACAGTGGGTACGGAAAGTATTCAGACCCCCTTAAATTTTTCACTCTTTGTTATATTGCAGCCATATGCTAAAATCATTTAAGTTATTTTTTTTTCCTCATTAATGTACACACAGCACCCCATATTGACAGAAAAACACAGAATTATTGACATTTTTGTAGATTTATTAAAAAAGAAAAACTGAAATATCACATGGTCCTAAGTATTCAGGTTTAATGGCTGCAATGTAACAAAGAGTGAAAAATTTAAGGGGGTCTGAATACTTTCCGTACCCACTGTAAATAAAAAAAAAAGATAAACTGGAGGGACACATTTTACATTAATTGAACGTAATACACAGAGAGCAGGGTTATTATCATTAAACTGAAATAAAGCTGAAATAAATAAAACCAAAATATTAGATGAAAAACTTAAAGCAAAATAAATAAGTTTAAGTTGAAGTATATATAATATGAAGAAATACATAAAAACCGAAATACCGAAAATATATATAATATGAAGAAATATATTCAAAAAAAAAAATAGAATTATCAAGTGCATGTCATATTTCATAAAGAAACTGAATCCTGTTTTAAGATTGTACTTTTCCCCCCCTGCAATAGTACCCTCAATTTCCCATTATGGTAAAGCAAAAAATAAATCAATAAATAAACATATATATAAACATAAATAATAATAATATATATACTTTTCTTTTTTTCTTTTTGAGTGAAAAAGTGAAAAAATAATAATAATATATATATACAGTGGGTACGGAAAGTATTCAGACCCCCTTAAATTTTTCA